CCGATTGATGGATGAGCTTTAGATGGGGGTAGGGGGTTGGAGAGAGTGGGCAAAAGGTAGATCCCAAAGTGACCGGTAATGTAGATTGACACAAAAAATCCTCCTGAAATAAACGTACTAACCCATCTGTTGAATAGAATACGTTTCACCAAATAAATAATTCGGGAAACGGTAATCAAAAGACGTATCAAAGGAGAGGAAATGAGTAAAATTCTAACCAGATTTCGAATGGAATAGAAATTTTGATTTGAAATTTAAGTCGAAATTAGCAAAAGAATTAAAGTACTAACTTCAATTTGCATATTTTGATATCCTTAGGAAAAATTGGCGCAAATCTATCGAGTGTAAATATCAGCTCATATATTTCCCCTTTCAAAATTATTTATTTCAAATGGCAGGCGTTATGGTAGGTATCATTAGCCCTTTAGTTGACTTCGGGCTTCACAGAAAGGAAGATGAACATCAAAGTGGCCAAAAGTCAAGAGGGGGACAGAACAATGTTTCACAAATGTAAAAGAGATAGACAGACAGACACAAAGGTAGAGAGAGGTAAGGTAAGATGAGTACTGTGAAATTATTCGAATATGAAATGCAGTGGGGTGATGGTAGTTTGAAGTAAGAAGTCAACTGCCGGTTAATTGACTTTTTTGCCATATGAGTATACGTTGCCCAGGGTGCACCACGTGGAGATAAGTCTATCGCACACCCCCCTTTCAACATTATTAGATGGTGATTTTTAAATTTATGACTCGGCAGACGAAAAGAGAATACAAAACTCTGCCTACTTTGTCATAATTTTGCCACATTGTCTTAAAACGCACGTTTTCTCATTCTTTCGCCTTTACCTATCTCCTTTCTCCACTGCTTTCCAACATACTAGCAGGCGAATTCACCTCTCAGTCTCCTAAAGTTGGAAAAGGTTACTTTAAACTGCATGCCTTTAGGAAAATTGATTGTTTTCTAAAGTGATATGCATTGACCAAATTCAATTGGACTTCTGAGATTGATCTTCAAATTGGATTAAGGAAAACTATCAGTTCGCATTAACTAGACTTCTGTCGTTTTAAGTTATTATAACTAGCCATCGAATATTGAGCACATACTGCTTTATTCATGGGAACCATCTAAAGTCTATTGGACGCGTAAACGTAAAAAGATTAGAAAGACTGGAATTAATTGTGAAATAGAGAGAACTATTCAAAATCCTTACGCGCTGCGATTTAAGAATTCATCAGACTGTAAGTTTTCATATGATATACCATCATATTGGGTCCAATTAATTTAAATATCAAGACTTTAAATCTGGTGGGTCTAGATTTATTGGCTGATAGAACTCAGGAATTCTCAATGAAGTCACCTTATTCAAACAAAAGTCAATTGAAAATAACCTTGAAAATTAGCAAGGATTACGTGACAATCTCAAAGTTGGAGAGAAAATTACTGACTATTTCCTTTCAATTCAGCTGGAGGAAATCAGTCCATTTGCTCGAAGTTGTCTTATGACAAACAAACTTCAATTTCTTCGACTATTTTGCGACGCTGGTCTAAAGATGTACGAATTAGCAGATTTAGGAACCATTGAAGAGCTCTTTACCGCGGAAGCACACAGAAATGTAAATTATTTTTTATTTAACTAAAAATATCTTATCAATAATTTATTTGATTGAATAATTATCTAATTTATGCTTAACTGATTTCGATTAATGCTATGAAAGTGACTTACTTTAGTTTTGCTTGAATATATAAAAATTAATTTATTAGAAATGTATACTACTATTTAAATTTTATTTAAGTAGTTCTTCACTTTAATGTAGCTGTCTAGTAATATTGCACTATTTTTTCTTTAAGACTGTCGGTGGAAGATCACTAAGGCATTTCTTTACTTACTATAATCAACGCGTAAGTCGAGAGAGAAAATTTATTCGATATCTCATGCCAAAAACATTGACAATTATTCCTCCTCATTATCAGCTTCCAACAACAATAACGGTGGAATTTGTAGATCAGACATTAAAGAAAATGATGGGGCGAAAGTATCTGACCTCGGTGACAAAGGTCAACAATCGAAGGACGAGGTGTATTATACGCAAAGTGAAGGAATCGATCTCGTGCCAAGCAGGTACTTCACTCTGTCTCTCACTCCCTCTCTCTCTCTCTCAGTTTTATTAATTTTTTATTAGATCAATCTTACGTACTGGTTCACAATTCTGGCGAAAATTTTCAGAGTAATAGCAGGAGCGTAGTTAATGTGAGAAAATATTTAAACTTCCGTTTATTCCCCAGTAATCTTCAGTTGCTCTAGAACATTCTCGGCACTCCTCTAGAGTGCCTGTAGCCTCTTTTGTGTCACCATTACTCTGAGCATTAAAACGAACCAGAAAGTTAATCATTTTTAGTTAAAAAAAGCTATATTTAGCAATAGATCCGACTTGACGCTTGCACAATTGTTTATCGAATCAAATACAGTAACTTCTCTCTCTTTCTCTTCCAGTCTATTTAAGAGACAAAACTGCAAAAATTTCTTTTATCACTTCTACTTTTAGCGCCGACATCTTGGAACAGCCATGCTGTTGTTTGATTTTAATCTTTTACAAGAATTTTAAATAGTGCTTAGAAACAGCTTCCAATCACTAACCAGTCTACAAAACCAAATTGGTCTTTTGTTTTCAATAAAACTACGGATATTGATTAAATTGATTAAGATTGTCTTGTTAGTGATTTAAAATAGTATCTTGAGGAATTTCTATTCACAGATCTACTTCTTTAACTCCGCAAAATATTTCTTATCCGTCGATTGATTTTTAAATCGTGATTATATGCAAAATTTGGGAGTGTTTAATGTTATCTTAAGTGAAAATCGAAATATTTTGTCCTAAAAGATGAGAATAGCTTACGATTTTCAGTATAACCTTTTGTTGCCCATTAAAGAGAGCGGAGTTATTGTGTTGCCTGGGGTTCTTGGTACATAAAAAAGCCATAGATAGTGATTTGTATGACTCACGATCGAGATATTTAATTTGACTAAAACTGTGAATTATATCAAAAAGAAACGCATGATTATAAGGAAATGATCCACATCTATTAATATCACGCCAAATCGATTACTTTGGCTCCTTTTAAATAAATTGAAAAGTATAATCTGAGTAAGTGGGCGTGCTCTAATCTCTATATGATTTTGAAAAATAATACTGAAATTTGTGTCGATCGTTAACTATGATCAGATTATTGGATAAGATAAAGCTGGTTTGTAGATAACTTAATTTTGTAATTCCATTAGTGTAATGGCCTACTGTTATCTTCATAACCCCTCTAACTAATGTCAAATTCGTTGTTTTTCAGTCATCGCCTCACTGGCCTGCCAGTCGGTTCATGCAAAGTGATCACAATTGTAAGCATAGTAGTGGCGTAGTTGTCAACATGCGTCCATCATGTTAATGCTCATGAGACCAACTCCCATTGGGAGCACATCCAGTGGAAGTAAACTGGTTGATTCTGATCCTCCAGTGTGCGGTAAAATTCCAGCTTTCATTAACGCAGTTTAAGGATACTTTTCCTTCGCCTAAATCAAGTGGTACTTCAACTTTTGCTTTGAGAGGGGATAATTTACTGTTTAATTCCATTGAATACGACGTAAATTATAACGAGACTCTCTTTAACTAGCTTGATTTCAATTGCAAGGTAGCCTACATTGTCTATGACCGACTTACCAAACACATTTGGAAGCAATTCCACAAGACATTTTATGTGCCTGTAAATATTTCGAAATATTCAGTTCATATTTATCCTATGGATATGTGGGTCATCAGCTAATGGAATGCAAAATCATGGGATTTCCTCAAACAAACAATTTACAAGCTAATTAAAGACTTGATTATTAAGACAACAGACACCAGAATGAGAAAAATTCGATAATGGGAACAGAAGAGTGATTCACCGATGTAAGAGACAGAGAGACACAAAGGCAAAGAAAAAGGTAAGGTGAGTACTGTGTAAGTGGCTGAATATGACACACAGTCGGGTTATGGTGGTTTGAAGTCAGAAGTCAACTACCGATTAGTAGACTTTTTCCGTATGAGTATACCTTGCCTAGGGTGCGTCACGTGGAGGTAAGTCTATCGCACATCCCGCTTGTTGAAGTGAAAAAAATGGTATTGGACAGTTATAATTCTAAATCGTTTGTTCTTTCCAAACTTCCAAAATATTTTTGATTCAAGTATTTTACAAGAAAATAATAGTTATCAATAATCGTGATTGACGAAATGCAATAAAATGTTATTAATCTACATCCATTAATCTCAGAGAGGCTAGTTGAAATGGAAACGTTTCTAATAGGACAGCTCTTTTGGATTTCTATGCAACAAGATAACACTGTGTTGGACTTTTTTCGTGCAATTAAACTAGCTTTTGCATATATTCAGGTGGATGGAAGTTCAAGTTTTTGACTGATTTAAATCTATTTACCATTTCCTTGGTTATTCTCCGTGTTCTTGGTGAGTTATTAGCGAAGGAAGCATATATGACGGTGTATACAATTCAAAGTGACAAAAAGTCGGTATGGGGGGGGGGGTAGTATTATGATTCACAGATGTGAAAGAGGCAGACAGACGGGCAGGGAAAAGGTAAGATGAGTACTGTGATAGTGACTGAATACGACATGCAGTGGGGTGATGGTAGTTTGAAGTCAGAGGTCAACTGCCGGTTAATAGATTTTTTGCCGTATGAGTATACGTTGCCCGGAGCGCACTACTTAGAGGTAAGTCTCTCGTGCACCCCAATCAGTCAGAGGAAGTGAAATTGAACCTAAGTTGATGACAGAGAGGGGGGGGGGGCTGGGAGTGTTCTGGTTACTCTTTTAAAGGAAACACCCACTATACCCCCTGTCTTTGAGATCCCAATTAACCCTTATGATTAATCAGGCCAATGAGTATTGATATTGTGTCCTCTGGTTCTATAGACGTGCATGTTAATTTAGTGATTTGATAAAAATCGCCAGCATGTCTGCACGAGTCGTGTTTAAACATGTTTTGACTGGGTGAATCAAAAAATTGTTTACAATATCTACATAGACTTTATTGAAAAACCGCAATGCGCCAGACGTCGCATTGCAAGGCTATTAATCGGGGTTATATGCTGTTGGTATGAAAGAGACAGCTACAAAATGTCAACATGGTGTCTCACCAATTATCTAAATTCTGTGACCAATGCATTAAATTGTAGCATTTTGACCACCGGATGGCGATCATCCAGAAAGAAAAAAACAGCCACTGAAATTATGCCCCTACAAATAAATTTTCATATAGAAGCGAAACAAACGCTTATTATCTCCTTTTAAGGCAAGAAATATGGCGTTTAGTTAGAGAATGTCTTTTGAACCCCCCCCCCCAACCCGGCCCCTCCCCACCCTCACTCATCCCACATGATAAAATAATATTTGAGTGCATTATTGTGACGTGAATGCACATCTTTTTGCCTTTACAATAGAAGATACTGACGATCTATCATTCCCTCACGAGAAGGGAAACTACCTTCAATACCTTTACCTCTGGGCGCTCGCTTCAAAGCGCTATGAAATTGCACGCTATCTACTGATGATGTTGACAGACATCACCGTGGCGGCGCTCTTTGGAGCCTCCTTCTTAAGACGAAAAGCCCGAACTCTTAGATCGCCGTCGGATATTGAAGAACTCCAGCACTACTCTCTGTGAGTTTAATTTGGAGCAGAGCTGATTGTTTAATTAAATTCAGCAAATTTAGCATAAGAGATTTAAATAGGTCTTCATTGATGTAAGTTATGTAGATAATAGAGTGCATATGAAGGGGTATTTGCTCAATAAAATGCACGCAAAAATGTAGAAAGGAAGGATAGGGAAGGAAACAAAGTACAAATGGCGGAAGTAGTGGGCCAGCTTCTCCATGATCACGAAGTTCCGCCAAGAGCGACCCCACAAAATGGTAGCATGGCCAAGTTGCTCTCATATTAGACTTAAAGATGTCTTCTTATCTCTCTCGTGGTCCAGCAAGATTGCGAGCCTACTTCCAATATTTATTTCAACTTCATTTAGCAGGTATCGTTCCCAGATTGATTGGAACACACCGCAAATAAGATTTAGAGGGATTTTACTCAATTCAGAACAACAACATATCAAAATAAATTAACAATTTAATCAAACGGTTATTTATTCACTTCAAATGTCAGGTTTTTTGGTAGTTATCATTATCCATTTCGTTGACTTAGGCCTTCACAGAGCAGAAGAACTTCAAAGTCACTAAAAGTCGAGACTGACAACAGAAAAGTGATTCACAGATCTAAAAGAGACAGGCAGATATAAAGGCAGAGAATAAGGTAAAGTGAGTATTGTGGAAGTGGCTGGATATGACACACAGTCGGATTATGGTAGTTTGAAGTCAGCAGTCAACTGGACTTTATTGTCGTATGAGTATACGTTGTCTAGGGTGCACTACGTGGAGGTAAGTCTATCACACACCCCAATCAAACGGTTATAGGGCCTGATGAAGCTTGTTCTGCGTGAGGCAATTAATGAGAGTCTCAACAAGAAAAATAAATGTGAAATAATTTCCATTAATGAAAAGGAAATGTACGATGTCATAACCAGTTTGCTTAATTTCTTAACAAGCACACACCTTTAAATGAAGTCGATACGCGCTACTCCAGCCAATGGAAAGTAAGTATTTGTGTGCTAAACAGAGAGAAGTGCTAGTTTTTAGACAAAAGTTCAATGCTTTCAGAGAATTACATTAGGTTAAGGAGACTTATTCCTCCCTCTCCTTTTGTCAATTGTTCTAACTTTGCTAATTTGAGCACCACACATATGATTAGCGTGAACAATAAAATTCAATTAGCGATATTATTTTATTTAATCTTTTAATTAGACAATAACCTCACGAACATAGAAAGGAACTTATTCCAACTTACATACACACACACACACACACACTAGTACTGCAACGTCTTACTGTGGAAAAAATGCGCCATCAAATGGGGGGGGGGGGGGAAGGAGGTATTCAAAAGCGAGCACTCAGGGCTATTCCCATTTCGCAGAAATTGGGTTTTGTCTCCTCGTCTCTCTCCTCTCTGTTCTTCGTAGAGATGAGTCAAACAACTTTATTGCAACGAGATACCATTAAATTTGATTATCATAGATAGTACCCCAAATGGAGAACTTGCCGAAACTTACATTTTCGTGCCTGTTTGAACGGTCAATAAACTTCGCAGAACAAACCCAAAATGCACTTTTATCCTTTCCATAAGCTCACTTTACATTTGTCATCTCTACTGCAGAGTCTTTGAAGATATCGCTCTGTCTATTGTGAAGCAATGCTACGGAAATAATGTGAAAAGTACAATGCAATTGCTTATTATGGAAAGGAGGACTTTTAATCAGGTCTCCTGTTTTGTGATGGCAGCCGAAGGCGACTGCAAGCATTTCATGGAGCATCAAGCCTGCCAGGAGTATCTCGATCGAATTTGGGCTCATACACTCATTTTGAGAACTGCCTCTTGGAAGGTAATGCCCATTTACGCTCACATTGAGATAATTTATTTCCCATTTTCATTGGCTTGACTATTTTTTTTCACGGTAGATAAACAATTTAATAAGACTGTGAAGGCATTAGAAATTTGCATTAGGAAATTCTTCTATATCTAAGATGAAAAAAAAGCATGGAATTATTTTTTTTTATTTTTTAAAATTTGGTTTAAATGAATTTAATTTTTTTAGATTTGAGATAAGTAATGCGCAGTTACTTATTTGATGGGAACGGTTTGTTAATGCGATCTAGATAGTAACATTTATTGTTTTGCGTTTACCAAACCTGCATACTGCCCTCTTAATATCCTAAACGCTCTGAGCCACCTCACATTCGCAGATCACTTTAGATAGCCCTTATCGTCCTCTGCCTTCCCTGTAGAAGATCATTTAAAATGCGTATATGATTTCGGTAACTAATGGTGCGATCTAATACCATTTCAAGGAAAGTCCTCCAATTAACGGTGTTCAAGGCTTAGTCCTGCTTCTAAATATTGCTTTGGCTAGTGAATGCAGAAAGCATTGGATAAAAATAATAATAAAAAGATCCCTTGATGGCAAGTAGATTGGTTCTGCGTCATGAAGTTGGCACTGTCCATATCGATCAATTCACTACTAATTACTTAATTCACAATATCACCTCCTCAAATGCATTTCCGATAAGATTATTTATTCACGTGATATGATAAGTATCTGGTATTCTGGTGCCCTGAGTATTTGCACTGGTTATAAATATTTATTTATTTATTTCAAATGGTAGGCGTTTTGATAGTTATCATTAGCCCTTACGCTGACTTCGAGCTTCACAGAGGAGCGAAAACTCAAAATCACTAAAAATGAATAGGGGTAACAGAAGAGTGATTCACAGATGTAAAAGAGACAAAGGCAAAGGTAGGGAAAGAGGTAAGGTGAGGTCAGTGAAAAATGACATACAGCGGGGTGAGTATACGTTGACCAGGGTGCACCACGTGAAAGTGAGTCTATCGCACACCCCAGGTTACAAATATAAAAAGGCGAACAAATCAGAAATTATCCAATAAAGACCCCTTTCTATTATTGGCCATTTCATATAAAATGCGCTATAAGCATGTCATTTAAACAAACATGATCTCATAGAGGAAAAAGAATGGCGATAGTTTAAAAATCACAAAATGAAGAATTTTATCTGAGGACATTATTCCCCACCCTGGTGTAACAAAGACATCCCATTATCAATATATGTGAGTGCGAGGGGAGTACTGTTTATTCAAATTAGTAATTTTGATTAAGAAAACGCAAAGGAGACCACAAATTAATATTCGGAAAAATCAGCTAATCTGCATAATTAAGTTTAAAAGAAACCAATTACTCCAAGTATCATTGATTGCAGACACACTCAACCACCTCCGCATTAAATGTGGCATAATATTGAAAGCCATACCTCACTCAACAAGGCACAATGCCTTATAAATTTCAAAGTACTGTAATTCTAGCCCTTCCTCTCCAGAAAGACGATAGAAGATAAACCACAGCGATGACTTGCATCACTATAGTCACGACTTCCCGTTCCCCTGCTCCTCTCTCGTATTGGCGAATTCCGGATTTATTTTGTTGTCCTTCTCAAGATTATTAACTCCCTCATGGTCTGTTCTGGGCTTTTAGTAAATGGCACTGTTCGGAGTAATGTGCGCCTCCTAAAAACAATTGGACGACATTAAAACAAATATTGTGTGTTGTGATATTCAACCTTGAAAAGCTGGCTCCAGCGTTAACCATTCAATTTCTCTAATTGTCTGCACTCGCGACACACACACACACAAAGTTACAGCTCTTTCTAGCCATAAAAATCGCATTTTAGTAGCAATGTAGTTCAATATGAAGTTAAAAATAACTTTCAAGCGTTTATATAAACAAGGGAGAATCTAAGATGACTTGCTTCTTTGCAGTTTAGAATTCGCTCAATCTTCATTCGCTTATTTAGTGGCAATAAGTAATTGTGTCACCCTCTAATCAAACCATGTTAAATCCTCAGAATTCGAGCTCCGGATTCTTGGATTCTTGCCAAACGCACCCACTTTACATAAAATTTGATAAGCGGTTGAGGACAACGAAATCTTTCCAATTTACCCATTTAATCTCCGGATTCTAATGTTTACTCACGTGGGCAACTTTGTTCGCATCTTCAAGTTCATTTGATGGAGAGTGAAGATTTTTGTTTTTGCTTTCAGTCGAAATGACCTATTCAGGAACCATATTCACAACCTAAAATCCATATACTTTAACTAGAACAGGAGGGGGGGGGGGGGGTAGGGGACGGGGCGGGGAGGGAGAGAATGTGAAATGGACCACAGCTTTAATCGAATAGACTCATAATTTCATTAAATCATACTCCATTTAATAGCAATAATAATAACAATGTAAAAAGCATTTTAAATTTGCGTTCATTTTAGTTTTTCTTCTGTATTTTCGTTGGAATAATTTGTCCACCAGTTATTCCCTTCATTGCTGACTATGATGAAACTAAGTACGCCCAAGAAACGAGTGCTACCAAGCGAGATGTAAGTACAGTTTCAGTAGCCTCGTGCTGTTTGTATATTTGTATGCTTAGAAGCGTAGTAAAAAAATGAAG